CAACTTATCCTTCTTTTAGCTTTCCTTTGGTTTCTGCACCCTCACTGCAAAATGTATCATCTAAATTACTACAGAATCTTATTCTTGCAACAAAGTTTTCTTAGACAATGACCTTAGGCCAAATGGCACACTTCTATACACAGAAAGATATCATGACTGAAGAAAGGAGGGGGTTAAAGCATAAATAATAGACTCTGTATCTATCTATCTATCTATCTATCTATCTATCTATCTATCTATCTATCTATCTATCTATCTATCTGTCTGTCTGTCTGTCTGTCTGTCTGTCTGTCTGTCTGTCTGTCTGTCTGTCTGTCTGTCTGTCTGTCTGTCTGTCTGTCTGTCTGTCTGTCTGTCTGTCTATCTATCTATCTATCTATCTATCTATCTATCTATCTATCTATCTATCTATCTATCATCTATCTATCTATCTATCTATCTATCTATCTATCTATCTATCTATCTATCTATCTATCTATCTATCTATCTATCTATCTATCTATCTATCTATCTATCTATAGGAGACCACTGCACACTGCAGCATTTTAAATAGATTTTAGTCCAGGCTTTTATGGAGGGACAGCTCTACCATATTTAAAAATAAATACATATATATATATGTTTTTTATTTATTCACCTTTCTAATAATTACCCTATTTATTTATTGTCCGTTATAATCTTCATCTTTATTTATTAATTGCTTATTTTTTTACTATTTATTTATGTGCATGTTATAATACTTTTGTCTGTTTTATTCTTTCTTTGTATTTTTTTTTTACCCTATTTATTTCTTCAATACTATTTATTTCTGCCTGTCGTTTTTCTCTATACCTTTCTGCCTCATTATGGAAATGAGGGTAGGCTGTGTTTTAGAGGGTCAACTTCTGCCCATTGTTTGGTTAGCAATTGAGGAAGGGCTTTGTCTTAAAGGGTCTCTGAGCTACTGTTGTGCTCTTCAGCTCTCTGCCTGAGCCAGCAGCAGCAGAGGCGGCAGTCTGCTGCTGTAGTTCCTTAGCCACAGAGGGCGGCATAGCTGACCGGCTGGTCCTGATTCCAGAGTTCTGTCAGCTTCTGTTCTCACACTGAGCTCAGGAACGCCATTTCCCCTTACCTCTGTTTTCCAAATGATTTGCCCCTCTATTTTGTGCACTCTGACTAAAACAAACATGGACCGAGGGCAAAAATATTTTGCTTCTATAAGTACAAACCTACGTAATTATAAATAGTAATATCCAAGACCATGCAAAGATAGAGATTGAGACTTTCAGTACATAGGCAATAATAAATAAGATAATATATTACAGTTGTCAGTAAATCCCTGTAATTTTTACAGACTGTACTTTTAGGAAAACAAATCTTGATTCGTACAACTTCAATAGTCGTCAATGTGCCGTCAGACTTTTTCATACAGTAATTACTCCAGGATTTCACAACATTCTCAATTAATAGCAAGTTCAGCATGAGCTGACCACTAGGCAAATATGCATTAAATTTTCACATCATTTTTCTTTAAATCTGGTTATGCAAAGTCAGACATTTAAAGAAAGAGGTGGCTTTGCTATCTTTAGGTTTTTCAAATTTGCTTTACAACCACATATCTCATCCATCCATCCATCCATCCATCCATCCATCCATCCATCCATCCATCCATCCATCCATCCATCCATCCATCCATCCATCCATCCCTTCCTCATTAGTGCAAAATCTCTACATTTCAGTCTTTACCTGTGATGTCTTTGAACTGCTGAACCAACATCTACCCACTCACCACGTAGGACTTTAATGATTTATAACGGCTCCAAACATTCTCTGCCTTGTTTATAATGTTGAAGATAATTCCACTGATCATCATGTTTTATTTTTAGAACATCCAATTTAAACACACATGCTGATTTATCTTTTGTGGCTCAGCAACTACACTGTCAGGGAGGCCATTAGACATGTTGAAGGCATTTATTGTGATTTCATGCATCATTATTATTTTAATTTCCAAGCCCTTTTAAATGAGCTCCAGCCTTATCTTCCCTTCTTTAAAATTCTGGGATGTCTGCCCATTTTCCTAACTCAAGCCTAAGAACAGGGGAAAGACTTACTAGAAATCAGAAATTTAAAAGTATTTTATTGAAGATTTTGTGATAAAAAAAAAAAGGGGTGGGAGGGGTTTGTAGAAACATGTATGATTTACGTGATTCTAACTAAACTTTATTTTTATGTGTTTTAAATTAAAATGAGAAGAAAATAAGAAATGTAACATTTGTGTTATGAGTTTCTGTTGTTATGACTGGAAAAGCAATCAAAAACATCTGTTTAAAGTACCTCGGTTTCTACAGGATTGCCTTATTGTAAAGTGACACATGGAACATCTATGAAAAAACACAGATTACTTTCACACTGACCACCAAATCCTAGGCAAAGGGCAAACAATTTTACAACATTAACATTTACAAAATGCATAGGGAGTAGAGATTCAGGATTCCTTGTTGTGTCCTTGGTTAATACACTTCGCCCTGCTTGTCTGTTGGTGATCCTGTCAGCCTGCCCCAGGGCAGCTGTATCTACAATGTATCATAGCATTGTCAGCGTGTGAATGTGTCCACTGATGGACGAACCGATGGACATTAGATCTAAAACTATACTTTGCTCTCAATTAGTTTTGCATTTATTTGTTTTATGTTGGCTGTATTTTCTCTGTAAACTGATTTATTTTATGTGCTTTCTGTCTCTGTGTTGCAGTTGTCGACCTCTTGACCAGGTCACCCATGAAGAAATTTAATTCAGGGACCAATTTGAATTATCTTGCTTGTTTCTCTACAAAATCTAATAAATGTTTGACTAGCTCTCAAGTATTAATATTATTTATTTGTACATTTCCATTCACATTTATTCAAGCACCAATGATGCACTGTCACAGAAAATTAATTAGTTCTGTGTCTTATTTCTGAATCAGATGAGTAAATATATTTATATTTGTTTTATTTATGCATAATTATTCTTGAAAGTGATCTGTAAGGTGTGTTTTATTTCATAAATTAAATCTTAGTTTTATTTGTGAAATCAGGTAGTTATAATTCCTACTAAGAAAATATATAACAGTTCTGCTCTCTGTTGCTTCTGTTTTATGAACTTATTTGTAACTTGTAATTAGCTGATGTATCCTAAATTAAGGTTTGCAAATATTCTTTATGAATTAGTGAAAAGGAGGTCTATTTTTTTGTTGTACTGATGCATTAATCCTGGATATGTCAGAAATAAACAGATTAATAAAACGAAGAGCTGCTCCCTCTGGCTACATTTAAGTAAAATCGATAACAAAGTGTATTGTCCTATTCCCTTGATGCTAAACAGTTTACATTCTCAGAAGATCAATAAGACTTTAGAGAAGCTCAGAGCTGAACACCCGCTCAGAGATGCCTTTTGATATGAGCAATAAAAAGCACATGTTTACCGCACCAAGGGTGGTTTTCTAGGAATACGCTAGCGGTGCTTTTAGTGCCTCTCTTGAGCAAGCTTATGGCTCAACTATTTTATGTGCCGACAAATGCATCCATCCGTTTATTACCAGAGCAGCTTCAAACGAGGGATGTCACATCGCTGAATCCATTAACATTTAAAACATATCTGATAACATTTGATTTAATCTTGACTATATAGCTTCTTGTTTTTATGCTTTCAATTAACATTTAAGCAGTTAAAAAAAAAAAATTGACAGAGAGGCAATAAGACTAATTAATTACTTAAATGATCATCACATTTTTTTGTAATCCTGTCATGCTTTTTTTACTGTTAATTCTAAGCTTACAACTGAAGCCTAAAATTAACTCCAAGACGTCGTTTCTCACAAAACTGGAATATTACATGAGACCATTGGCATTTGGTTTTCTAAACCTAAAATGTAATTGTGTGGTTTGCACAAGCATCTGAGTTCTAACTTGACAGTCGTCCAGTAGGTAGTAGCCAATACAATCAACTAAGAGAGTAAGACAAAACAAGCATTACATAAAGAAGATGGCTATTAAAAGGGTGCTGTGCATCTGCATGTAGATGGAAATTAATCTAGAGCTATTAAACAAGAAATTGCACAAAATAGGGATAACATATAATTAGTGTTGTACCGATACCGATACCAGTATCGGACGGGGGCCCCGACACTGCCCTAAAATGGTGGTATCGGTATCGGCGAGTACAACTATTAATAGTTCAACTATTGTCACCCACTCCTGGTAGGCAATAAAAAGTTTTACTGGATTCACTTTGTATTAGATTTTTTCCTGCTTCACAAAGGTAGGCAGCAGCTTGACAAAGCCATGATAGCAATTATTTTACATTATTATGGTATCAGTATCGCCGATACTGCACAGCCAGGTATCGGGTATCGGTATCGGGGCCAAAAAATGGCATCGGCGCAACAGTACATATAATTTTCAGTGAAACATCCACATGGGGATGCCAGAGACAGATGCTATAACACAGAAATGGTATCCTACTGTAAATGTGTCCATGCACTAGACAGTATGAAGTATTACAATTTCTAACAAGCTTTACTTCAAATTCCACTTAAGACTGTAATTATCCCTGTTGCCTTAGTAACCATTTATTCCACCATCACTCCTCCTTCCACTTAACTTTCCATTGACATTTTGCATTTCTTTGTAAACAGTCACAACCATCCAAATGAAAAGGAATAATTGCTTTAAATGCAAACCTTTGTGTAATGTTTTACAAATCTGTAACAATGTATACAGATGCAAATACATAAAAAAAAAAAAATATATATATATATATATATATATATATATATATATATATATATATATATATATATATATATATATATATTTTTTTTTTTTTTTTTTTTTTTTTTTTTTATGTATTTGCATCTGTATACATTGTTAGAGATTGACAATAATAAATAGCCTTGGACTTCTCTCCCTCAGGGTGATTCCTGCAGCATCGCCAATTGGTGAAAGTGCGCATATCCACCAAGTGGTGGCGGAGAGATTTTTATTGCTCCTGACGAACTGAGGACCCTATATAGGGGCTCATGCACTGTGTTGCTGCCCATTGTGAAGCTTCTCAGCAGATATGTTAGAGCTACAATTGTTTTCCATCTCTGGTTTTATTTTTTCAATTTAGACTTAGGGAGTAGAACTCTTTTGTGCGTTTTGTAATTTTGGATCACACTGCAGGTGAGGTTTAAAAAAAAAAAAAAAAAACTTAATGATGTTTTTTGCAGATTCACAGCCTTGTTTCGATAATTTCACCCATTCTTTTAAAAAAAGTGCCTCTGTTGTTTCTGTTTGGAGAATAACGCATATATTATTTTATCCTACATCCTCTCTTTTTACAGACCAACGGATGACGTCCGACACAACGTAAATTATTTTTACCAAGTGGGAATTATGAACTGTCCCCAAATATGCCTGATCACCTGAAACAAGGAGGACTTGGGCTCCCTATCCTCTCCAGGTAACCAAACCATTAGACCTCACAGCCCTCTCGCATCTGCAGAGAGGACTGCACTACGGCAATGGAAACTATTTCTAATGAAAGTGACATCTGGCAACTGAACGACTCTTGGAAGAACTCGAGCCTTTTTAATGGGACCGCTGGGTTCAATCAAACGAACCCCCTGAAACGGAATGAGGAGGTGGCCAAAGTGGAGGTGACCGTGCTCGCCCTGGTGCTCTTCCTGGCGCTCGCAGGAAACCTGTGCGTCCTGCTTGCCATCCACACCACCAAACACAGCCAGTCCCGCATGTATTACTTCATGAAGCACCTGAGCATCGCCGATCTGGTCGTTGCTATATTTCAGGTCCTTCCTCAACTTATCTGGGACATAACATTTCGCTTCTACGGACCCGACATTTTGTGTAGGTTGGTGAAATACCTGCAGGTCGTCGGGATGTTTGCCTCCACTTATATGTTAGTTCTGATGTCTGTAGATCGCTGTTTGGCCATATGTCAGCCTCTCCGCTCACTACACAGAAGAAAAGACCGTTTTTATGTGATATTTTCCTGGCTCCTTAGCCTGCTCTTCAGCATCCCGCAGATTTTCATCTTTTCCCTCAGAGAAGTCGGCTCAGGAGTGTATGACTGCTGGGGCGACTTCGTGAAACCCTGGGGAGCCAAAGCTTACATTACATGGATCAGCCTCTCCATCTACATCATCCCGGTGGCCATACTCAGCATTTGTTACGGGTTAATCAGCTTTAAAATATGGCAAAACTTTAAGTTAAAAACAAGACGGGAGCAATGCATCAGCCTAACGCCCAAAACCTGCAAAAGCAACACGCTGGCCAGGGTGAGCAGCGTAAGGCTCATCTCCAAAGCCAAAATTACCACCGTGAAAATGACTTTTGTGATTGTGGTGGCATACATCGTGTGCTGGACCCCCTTTTTCTCAGTCCAGATGTGGTCTGCGTGGGATCCAGCTGCGCCTCGTGAGGGTAGGTCTAATGAATGCCCGCTGTGCGCAAAGTAGGTGGATAGCGCGCCATGCATGGTGCATTACGCATTTGGGATACCGTACTTTGAAATAGCCACACAGTAAGATTTATCTTCATTTTGTGAAATCTTAAAAGAATTCACATTTTATTGTCAGTCTTTTTTCTGATTTCCGATTTCCAAGAAGTAGCTATAAAGTACGAGTCCCCACATTTTATTCCTCAAAAATTATGCAGTGGAGTTCTGCTCCTTTTTTTTTTTTACTCTGAACTCCCATGTTTAAAGGGATGTTCTGGGCTTTTCCAGTTTAAGCGCGCTTACCAGAGAGACAATTGCCACAGCTTAAAGACAAAGTCAGTCAGATACACAACGTATAATAAAAGTGGCACAATTCAATCTATTTATAAGTGTTCTTTTTTATATATATAAGATGGGCCCATTTAATGTCATGCAAACGTTTTAACTATCTATTTAAGTACATATTGAAATAACAAAATCTGAAAAATATAATTGAAATTTATGGTAATTTCTTTTTTAATTTATTAACAATCATGTATGTTTTGTTTAATTAAATCATTTTACATTGTTACAGCCTTATTCTTCAAAGTCAGGAGATGAGTCTGGTCTGGATTTGAAATGCACTGCAGGTTAACCAAAAGGTTCATGACTGGATCAACTAAATGACTCATAAAGTCCAATTATATCACAGACCTTAACATAAAAATCACTTGAGTTTAAATAATTGATTTTAAATTGCCAAATGTCATAATAGGCATTAATTATAAAATGTTTAAATAACTAAATATTTGTTTGGTATATTTAAACATATATTTACCAGATTTTGCTGTTTTGACTCAGGGGAAATTTTTGGTCTTGTGCTAAAAAAATGTCTCGTTTTTAATACATGTTATTTCTAATTAACACACTATAACTAAAACATTTGCACATGATTAAACAAAAATAATAATTGGTGTTTTTTTCCAAGCACAGGGTGCACAGAACCTCCCTCAGACACTCCCTGAACTGCAGACACCCATTGATGAATAATCATTAATCAAATTAGTGTGCACCACTGCACATCAGGAAGCCTGTGCCTGTGGGGGTACTTTGACATTTAACTACAATACACAGGCTCCTACAGGGGCCCATGCATCCACTGTCAGTGACCACACCTTTCAAATCATTATATATTTACCTTTATGTCTTGGCTTTGCCTTTTCCTCTTTTTGCAGAGGTGTGATAGTAAATGAAATTTAAAACAACATATCACCAGAATTAAGCAATATTTTATGGTAAGGTGTAAAACATAAACATGAAGAAACATATGCTAATACAAGCTTAACTTTTATATGCAAACATAGCCATTACATTGCATGCAGAACTGCGATAAGATACAAACTTTTCCAACAAATTCTCTTTCATGCTTATACTTTTTCTAAATAATTGCAATTTTTTTCTTTTTTTTTTTTACTTTTTTTTTTTTTTTTTTTTTTTTTTACAGTTTAGTAATGTGGCAATAAGAATAATTGTCTTGATGGCAAAAAGAGCCCAACAGATTTTGCTTTCAGAAGTGGAGCAGTACGGCTATCGCCATAGTGTTTCGGTTGTTTTATGCATATGAATTGATATATTATAATTATGCAGGGATATTTACAGATTTTATGGACATTGCAATATTAGTAGAACAGGAAAGGAAAACCAGAAAAAAGGAGAAGAGGTAAAAGAAAGAGGAGAGAATGATAAAACATTTTCAGTCTGCTTCATCACCTGCAAAGAGATGTAATAAGAACAAAGAACAAAATAATTTCTATTTCGACATTTAGAAATTTCTTGATTTCTAAATGTTTTGTAGCTTCCATATGACATTGTGCCCTGCAATGCTTGTATCAAAAAACAACAAAAAAAACAGTGATGCTGAAGTAAAAAGATTTGAATATATCTTCTGAAACATTTGCATGAAGATTTGTTTGCACCTCTTTAAATCAGAAGTCCCCAAAAAATCCCAAGGTTGAACCGCTGTTTAGTCTCCACCAGGCCGCTAGGAGGAGCTCAACAGCACTTCTTATAGGTTGTAGAATTTGTTTTGAATTAGTTTTTTATTCTAAAATTGATTATTAAATATTTGAAAATAAATTTGAATCTCATTAAAAAAAATTTAAACATCTTGTGAGGTTTAAAAGACTATATAATTTAGTAATAATGAGAAAAAAGTTGAAGATTATTTCTAAATGTTTTTAGATTTAATATTTTATGCTGCCTTAGACAGATTTCATGTAAAATGAAGCTTCCAATTCACCAATTAACAAATCGAAATGTTCTGTGCTTGAAGACACAACCAGTTACTTTGTTGACTTTGATGAGTCTGGATTAAAACTTTGCAAACCAACAATAAACCAACTTGTCTTCATTCACCTCATGAATGATTGTATACAAAAAAATAAAATCATAGTGAAGCTTGGGCTATTTATTTAACATATTTTCTTGTACAATGAGACCCCTTATTTGCAATCTTGGACAATCTCTTCTTCTTTGCAGACAGTTTGGTGTATTACAAGTATAGACAAACTGCTTGATGAAACAGAAAGAGGTTGTGACGCCACACCTCTCTGTGATATTTAGAGGGAACAGTGACCAGAGAGACGAGAAACAAAATTGCTTCAGTGTGTATAAAAAATAAAAAGATGAATACATTTCCTAAAGGGTATGGCCAATCAGTGCGGAGAAGGAGGCTGAGTTTGGATGACAGGGAGACTTAAATTCAGCAGTTCGGAACCAACATGTGCCAATGTTTATGTACAAAAGGAGAGCAGCAGTGTCATCTGTGTGTGCTGATAAAGATTTAATTATAGGTAGAGATATAGCAGACAGCTCAGTAAATAAAGCCCATCCAAGATGAAAATGTTTGCATTACAAAAACAGTGAAAATTGTCACTAAAATTAATTGAATCTATATGATTTTTTACATTATTTACCACACCCATTTAAAAGAACTTAAAAGTAACAAGAGGCTCCAGGTGTATTCCTTCAGGTTTATGAAATAGTTTAGTGGTAAACAGGTTTTCTTTCTTTAAGTCAGTGTGGATATTAGGATTAACTTCAATCCAAGGTGCATGCCACCTATAGACTTCACTTTGCCTAACAGTGGGGAGCAATCTGCTGCTTGCCTGACCTTGTGTCTCTGCTCAATGTCCATCTACATGTCTTCCTTTTTATTTATTTATTTTTAGCCTGAAGAAACAGACCACACACACAAAAAAAGAAACCTACTGTTGTTTCACCTTTAAATAGCCCAGTTCCATTTCAACCTTTACATTCTTACAGGTAAAAATCAGAAAAAAATTACATGTTACTCTGCTACCTGGAGCAAAACATAGAGCTTTAAGGCTTAGAGGAGCATATTTACTAAGATTTCTCAAATTTATTGAGGTGTTTGCAGATCCAAACATTAATTGTTCTGAAAAATATTCCATTCCATAATTATTTTATTTTTTCACAGTGAAACACAAACTTTATTTTATCTGGTTTTGAGTGGCAGCGAAAAAACTACCATTCTAATGTGGAAGACAAATGATAAAATGCTTTAAAAACCTATTTTTAAAAAAGCCTAACGTGTGGCAGGAATTTGTTTTCATCCCCCTTTGCTCTAATTCTTCATCTTTCTAAGTCACCCAAATAGCAAAGCCTCAATCTTTGTGTGATTTCATCATGATAAAAAAGGCATCATATTTGTGTAGCCTACGTTTGTAGCCTGTCTTTGAACAAACAGCATCATAAAGACCAAGAAAAGGAAGGGTTTTTGTGGAGAGTGGTTAAGTTATAAAAATAACCCAAGCTTTGGAAATCTAGAAAAATAAAAACACTGTTAAACCCATCATCTAAAAGTAAAAAATATTGTTACAAATACCTATATATCAAGACCAATCTTAAGAGCTGCAGAGATCTACAGCTCAGACACTGACTGGACAGATGTTGTATACTCCTTGAATCTGGTCTCAGAGGAAGATTGACAATTTGATAGTGAATGTTTAAGAAAAACCATAAGCATTCACAGTTTCCCTCAAGTTGCATTTAGTACACAGCATTCAGGACACAGCAAACTCATCGAATAAGGAGTGTGGTGAGATATTTTTCCTAACTAGATGTTTCAGTCTACATACAAAAAAAATCATCTGTGAAACATAATTACCAATTTTTTGTTTTCTTAATTTTTTTACATGCATTACTATTAAAACACATTAAATCACAGAAAAAAAATTTTTTTTATTCAGTTGTACAGACAGGTTGACACCAGGTGGGCGGTTATCTGTCATGTCATCATTTGACAGACCAATCATATCACAGTTCCTGCATCAGTTCCCTACTGCAACTAAAACCTGAAGATAGATGCACATGTGTTTCCTATTTTCAGCCTGCCCCTTAATGAGAATGAATTCATGATTTATCATCTATACGGTTTATTATAATACTTGGTTTGCTCTACATCTTCCCATTTCCTTGTGAGTTATGTAATAAAGATGATTACTGTTATCCTTGCAAAAAGGGATTCCTGCTTCATCCAACCGCTTTGGGAATTTAACAAAACATTGGAATATACATCTTATAGTATTAAACAATGGGAGGGGAAAACTGCAGTTTTTAACTAATGGAGGAGTATACATATGTGTTATATAGGCCAACCCAGCCATTTGTTGGGTTTATTAAGTCTTTTTATGAATGAAATTATTATCTTCAAATTATTTCTATAGAAATCATATGTGATACATTACTAAGATACTCTAAATTGAAAAATTACTTGCAAGACAGAGCCTGTTTCTCCAAGGTCCTCTCCAACAAATGGAATGTCAGCTTTGTGACACTGTGATAATATGACTGAGCCTGGACCTTTCACAGAGAGGAGGTTCACCATTTTTTGCACCTGATCAGGCTTATCAGCATCATTTCTGAAAATGCCAGAAGATGTCAAAATACCCCATTCTCTCTGAGGTTTGTTAGAGGGAAATCAACTGTGTGTGAGTTCACATTTAGCAGCCAGACAGATTTCATTATGTGTTGGACAAAAACAGCTGAAGGTTAAACCTTGACTGAGACACACACACACACGTAAGAAATGTTTTGAACAAAAGCATCTCCTTCCTGCCACTGCCCCTATTGGAAGCTGACTTAGACCCTGCTATTGATTTTCATTAAGGGCCGTAATCGACAAAATATCCACCATTCAGTCTATAAAGTATTTTATTTCGTTTAAAGGTCAGGTCTTTTTTCTTTACAAGAAAAGGAAATAAGCCACAACCCAAATTCCTTTGTTGGTTGAATTTGCCCTGAAACATGTAGACAATCCACTTCTCTGTATGGTATGTAATGAATGCAGTGATAGGACACCTGGAAAAAAATAATTTGTTGTTTACCATTAAAGATAATTCAGTTTTTACAGCTAAATGAGGTTACTGTTAATAATGTTAACATCACCGTGCAACAGGAGTCTTTCGGACTGGGCAGAATCAGTTCTGACAGCCACACAGATGTACCACCCCCAGGCTGATTAGTCTGTCTTTTCATTTGCTGTGTGATCTATCATTCCCCTGTGAAAACCTCCATTCAGCAAAGGTCTTTTTTTCCACAAAGCCACACAAACGTCAAATTAATTCAAACCCAGACTCTCATCTCCTTTGATGATAAAACCCTGATAAGCTTCAGATGCACTTTTGCACAATCTGCCTTGCACTACATTCCAAAGGTTCAAACCCAAAGATAGATAGTGAAACCTGCAAATCTGTTAACTGAGGTTAACTTAGTATAGTCATGTTTTGGTCCACAGAGTGACCCATAAAGGACAGCTCCTCTTAATCATGTGTGTAAGACTTTCATACCTTCTAAGATGGCATTTACTCTGAGCTGCCTAATGAATCTAGGGGACTGAAGCAATAAGATAAATCCAGGCACAGGCAGACTGAGAAAAGATTAACAACCACTGAGAAGAGGTTAAATACAGGATACAAACCAATTACATGATCGGAAACTCATTTACCAAATGTCAGGTGGACGGTGGAGTTAGCAGTGTAAATGTCATCCAGCCGCCACTTCAAGTTGCTCTCTGTAATGTATCACTGCATCACTGGGCAAGGAATTGTATCACCTTTTCCATCCGTACAAATAAAATTGACCATGATGTATCTAGTCAGTGTTATTTTACTTTAGTCGAAGATTATTTCCCATTCGCTGAGCTTTTCAGTTTTAAGCCGATAATTATTTTGTGTCACATTTTGGTGTTGTGAGTGTGGCTTGAGTCACTGAGAAACCCAACAGGTAAACATGAGTGTGACTGTATGAAGCAGAGATTTTGAATTGATTCCGTTCTTTTAGAAAATACCAAACACTATTTAATTTACCAAAACTAAACCCTGACACACCTGCTCTATGAGCTCATTCAGGATAAGTACCCATTTTCTAACGATGTGTCACCTCATTAGGGCCGTGGCATTTGCTAATTACCTCTTGCTTATGAACTCAACAATGACTCTGATTACATTATTTCCATTTGGATGTCAAACTGAAAAAGTGAAACATTCAGGCTGAAAAGAGTAATATCTATGTTTTCTGTATCCTCCTGTGCTTAAATGTGCAAAGCTTAGTAGCTATAAGCATATTTGCCTATTGTTGATAACATCCTTGTGATACTTACCTATCATAAACGAGTTAGGGAAAATATTTCCCACAGGACATCAGTAAAAATCATTGCTAATTATATGATTAAAAGACCTCTCACTTCATAGGGGCTATGAGGGCTTATATACAGCTATTATAAGATAAAAGTCAACGATTTCCAGCAAATACTTAACTTACAGTACTTGCAGGTTCTCCCACTCAGGGAAAATTAATGCTAAATGATTCCTTCTCCATCTCACAGCAGTAACTTTTATCTGTGTTTCCTTTTATGCAGCCATGCCCTTCATTATCTCCATGCTGCTTGCAAGCCTGAACAGCTGTTGTAACCCCTGGATCTATATGTGCTTTGCTGGTCATCTCTTCCACGATCTGAGGCAGAACTTCCTGTGTTGTTCCGCTCGCTACCTCAAGTCATCCCAATGCCGCTGCGAGCGTGACTTTGACTCCAGCCACAAGAGCAACTCATCGACCTTTGCCATTAAGAGCACCAGCAGTCAGAGGAGCATCACTCAGACATCCACCACGTAAGCCCCTGGCCTCTTTTTTTCCCCCTTCTCTCCAAAGCTGCCCACTCAGCCTCTCACTACATGCTGCTCCCCATTAATTTTCCAGCGGTTCGATTTCTTCAAAATGCCTCCCTTGGCAAGACTTGCTGTTAAAGCCTAGAAGGGGAAAACAGCCCACACAGTACTTATGCTTCAGCATAAATTCAGAATTTTACTGTGAAACTGAAAACTGTAATAAACAGATGACCCCTCCATTAGACTTAAATCAGATAATCATGGACTAAAAAGAGTGTTCAGATGGAAATGTTTCTATTTTTTTTTTGTATATACTTGATCTAAATGTACAGGATGTGTTAACTGCGCATACAAAGTGATTAAAATGAGTATTCAACGGATGTCCATGCACTGTAAATTGTTACAGTTTTTCACACCAGCATAGCTAATGGATGGTCTTTGTGGTTATAAATGTATCTGTTAAAAAATATGTATTCTGTCGTCCAGCTTGTCACGTGTTTGCTCACATATTAACTGTTACTTCAGCTCTTGTTAAATTTAGTATGCCATGCCTGTCATTGCTAACCATCAGAGAAAGGGTTAAAAAAACAATAAAGCCTATTAAGTGCAATGAAACCTTTTGATCATGCTGTTATCTTTCATTTCATTCAGGGACAGTGTCATCATCAATGTCAGGTTGTTCATTTAGTGCTCAAATCTCTTTAGTCAAATTTAAGAATACAGTTTCTTGCAACAATAACTATACATTAACTTATTTCACATGATCATGCTGATATACCAACAAACTGTTGTGATTTTTGTAGGACTGAAACTGAAATGAAAACAAAATGGTGTAAAATAATAAGAACAATGATGTAAGGCTTTCAAAAATAGTGTGCTTTGAGTTTGTATTCCGCTCCTTTACTCATCCTAAAATTAAGACCAGTGCAACCAGCTGACCTTAGAAGACATCTTATTTCTTGTGTATAACCAGTATAAATCCAACTTGTAACTAAGGGTCTATGTTGATTATGTTTCAAGTACTATTTAGGTTTTAATGTAATTTTAAACTTTAATGCTGTGAATACCAGCACTTTGAAAAATATTCAGCTGTTTATGCAGGGCTTTTGTTCAGTTCTGTCTACAGTATGTGTTCCTGTCTGCAATTTTAATTTAGAACCAAAATAGACGCAGTGTTATTTCTTATGTTCTTCCAACAGGATGAGCAAATAAGGAAAATTAGCATATTTTATGTGCATGGATGCGTTGTTTTTTTTTTAAGTTAAAATTTTAAGCTTTTTTGTATTGTCTAAGGCAAAAACTGTATATTAAATTTTTTCATAAGTACAATGTAACACCTGTACTTTATTACTTTTACTTAAGCAAAGGAATCGAATTGATTAAGTACTGCATAGATGTGAGTATGTCAATGACTCAGAAAATAGGACCCAGAATTCAGGCAGACAGAACAGGTTTGTTTAAAAATAAAAGGCTTTGTGGACTATCAAGATTGAGTGGTTCATCAGCTGGGACTGGCTTGCTGGATTCTCTGTAGAGATAGATACTCAGGTTAGACCACTATACTCAGACGGGGAACGATACAGAGCATGTCAGTCACTAACCTGGTTCTTAGTTCTATTTGTGTCCTGAGGAAGGAGTTGGAGCCAGTCGGATGACTTCAACCACAAATTGCGGTGGGAGCCACCCAGAGAGTTCCAGGAATGAGGCAGAGCAGACTGACGAGCATAAGCCAGCAGACGCAGAGCAGAAGAGTCCAGAGGCAGAATCAAGAGCAGGTGACGAAGCAGATGACCAGATCAGAAGGTCAGAGAGATGCGGAGGTACCAAAGGGAAAATCCAAGCAGGGGACAGTTTCAAGGTCATTAACAGGCAGAGTCCAAACAGCAGTCCAAACACAGAAAGGGACAGAAACAGACCAGAACAGGGACAAGTCAAAATTCAGGAATACAGAGTAAAAAAAGGGCAGGAACAACAGTCAAAAGACAACAGGGTGTACTAAATAACTTTCACACTCGGTTTGAATAATCTGGCACTGATGGCTGGAAACAGGCAGCATAAATAGGAGCTGGAACATGTGGATCAGATGAGGGCAGATGAAAACTGGGCGGAGCTAAGCTGGTGGAAGGAAGGAACTAATAATCCAATCATCAGTACCAAGATCATGACAGACTAGTGCTATGTGTGGTGGAAAGCTACCATCACATATTTCCCTTAACTCATCTCATGGGTGTTGTTCCCTGAACAGCACAATCTCCATAGTAATGCATGATCATACCATTGAATATTTTATGTTAAAGGTATAGTGGAGGATGTTCTTTAACCCTGTGGATCATCAAAATAAGTGGTCCTCCTAATTGTTAATCATTCTGGTGATATTTCTTTGTAAGGCTGACCTACTTGCTCGCCCCCATTTTGACTTACCGGTGGTGAGTCTGACATAGTGGAAAAATTGCAAATCTCTTTTGGAAAGTAAGCTTGTATGATTGATGCAAACAGCAATTTTTAAACAGAGGGTGCACCAGGAGAAATGGGCTCTTGCATGCTTTTGCATGCAGTGTTTAATAGGCGTTCCTTCCCAGGAGCAGTTACAAGCTTGTGTATGTGTGTGTGTGTGTGTTTTTAAGTGGAGAGAGTGGGTCTTTTCAAAAATTCATGAAAATCCACCACTATACCTTGAAGTAGGGACAGTAAAAATGTGGTCTCAATTTTAAATACATATCAAAATTAGAATTAGTGGAAAGGAATCAAAGTTGCTTTTAAAACAGCTTGCATCCTATCTGAGTTAGCTTTAGTTGTTTTGCAATAAAAAAAAAGAAGCAAAATCTCAATGAAAGCTGGTACAGCTTTGACCCAGGAAGCCTGAATACATTTGTACCACAATTTCAGAGTTTTATTTGAAGAAAGTGTAACAAAAAACAAACAAAAACATACATATTAGGTATTTTTCTTCCATTTACAAGTAAAGTACTACTTTGTGTTTCTCCACTGCATAAATACAAAGAGACAATGCATCAAATGATGTAGTTGTAACAGCAAAATAGTGTTTTAGGGGTTTAAAGCATTTTCTAGAAACTCTATGGTATAAAAGGAGGGAAAGTATGAAAAGGAATATAAATGCTCCCCATTTTATGAAAGAACAAACACTTTTGTATAGTGTTCCTCACTTATTTCAGCTTGGTTTTACTTATCTGTCCAGTTCTCACTATAGCTGAGGTAAACTCTATTTATGTTACTGAGTCCAACTTTTTAGAAAACTGCAAATTGAATAACATCTATTTGAACAGCTTAGGATATTGAGACTGCTTTCTTATATAATAAAACTTTCCAGGAATATTTGATGATTGGCCACTCTAACAATTTAGCAGTTTCTTTCTTGTTACATTTGGCAGGTATCAAAATCCTTAAGAAGGTTTTTCTGTCTGCCAACCTTTCTAAAACATTTTTAATATTCACTCTGCCAAATGCTTTACATTTTTTAAGATGCTTTAGCCAACATTTTTAGACTCCCTTTTAGGTTTGTAAAGCCTTAAAAAAACATAAGTATTCTGGTACAATAGTGGTGGTGAGATGTATTAATTTCCTCATACGTATCCAGCGTTTTTCACCTAAAGAGTGATATTCTTTCTAATGGTTATAAGACTAGTTTTAAGGATTTATTTGGAAGATTCAGGACTTCCCTCTTCTATGAATGCTGATTTGTTTGTTTTTAGAAATTGCTAAATTGTTAAGATTATTTTCCTCAGCTAATCTTCATAGAAAAACGGTCAGTTACTTTTTCTCTGAAAGACACATTAACTTTGTTCCATGGAACTAGTAATATTATTCTAAGTTTTTTTGTTTTGTTTTTCATGTACTGCTGCCTAGCTAACTGAAGTAGTGAGTTCTCTTTTTATGCTTTTTTTCACAAGTTAGAGCAGATTTTTTTACACTAATGCAGGAGGGGATTATTGATGATACCATTGCTCATATGTCAAGTCATTGGAATCCGCAGCCATTTCATACATTAACACCTGGTCAATCAGTGTCACATGGAATAGAAACCTTTCTTCACACCAACAAAGCTGCCAGATAGCAATAAATTCCATACTTGGAAAACATCCTGCCAGTCACTGTGGTGCATGAGATTCTTACTGTTAGAAAACACTGCTTTCATTTAACAACTAAGGACATATAATATAATTTATTCTCAATATGTGGAATCTTTTAAAAAAACATATAGAAACATTCTTATTCACAAACGTCCATCAATTATGTTTTAGTTGGATTTAATTAGTTTTATTGTGCCACTGCATGGACACTAATTTAAGATGGTGTGTGCTTTTATCTGTTTTAACTTTTATCATTATTAATTGTGAAAATTTTAAAGAATTTGTTTTCCGTTTGGTAAAATTTGCAGTTATTCATACGTACATTAAACTGAACTTCATGAATTACTGGCCTTATTATTGTAACTATTTTGCTCTAAAATAATCAACAGGTTTTTAAGCAAGACAATTTATTTGAATATAAGTTTAATTGTTTGGGGACTATAGTAAGTTCAGGATCTTAACTCGGGGCCCCTGTGTCAGGGGAACAAGGTCTCCATATCTGGGTTTTTACATCATTGCAATGTAATAAAAAAAAAAAACTCTATTCACACATAAAATACAAGCTGTCAAGGGAAGGTAACAAGCTACTATTTAATTGCAATGAGGATGTTGGTATTAATTGTGCTTCATTTAGAACTAGCGACAAGCTGAGGAGCTATTTAGATAAGGTGAGTTGTAGCAGGAACACATCTAAAACACGCCGGGAAACAGTGCCTAAAGCACTGCTAAGGATGGAAGTATATTAAGATGATGAGGATTTCCAACCTGAACTGAAAACAGGACCAAACGCAGGAAAATATCACATATCTGGAGACTCCAAAAGACCTGTTGTGGGTTAAGGCGTGTGTTTTATGTTATTAGGTAATAAAAAAATTAATACATTTTATACAAAGGGGGTACTTATATGATTCTCATTTTAAAAAGTATTATTTTTTTGTATAGAATAACGTGTGAAGTATGATCAGCCGAGCATAAGAAGAAGTACATTTCTACATTAATTGTCAATTTGTCACTTGAAAAGGTTTCCTTTTTATTTTAAAGGAAGAAAAATTCTAAGAATATCATAATTCAGGTATGACTCACTTACTGGCAATTCATGCCAATGTTAACAAAAATGTACAACTAATGTTATTAGTGTACCATTAACTCAAATCTTTTTAAACAATATCTGCATGCAACATCTCATTCTCAGTCTTGTTGTGTGTTGAACATTGATTTTATTTTCCTTTTCAAAATGCATATGAATAAATTATTACATGAAGATTTTGTATTGAAATAAAAGACCAGTACACAGTGTCCATAGTGAATAACAAGAATGAATAACAAAGCTGGATGTGGTGGCAGCGAACCATGAAGAAATGGTCTAAGAAGAGAACACACTGAAAATACACAACAGCATCCTCTAGTGGGTCCCGGATGGCAGAAGGCTTCAAATAACTTTACTGTAAATGTTTTTTCTTAGGTTTATCACATTAAATAACTTAAACACTTAAAGAAGTGTAACATTTGTTTTTCTCCAGAAATTTT